GAAACACGAAACTACTTAANCAGTAAGGCCACTTATACACATTCTTTACAAATTGACCACTGGTATTTTAAAAGTTTTAAAATAGTTACTAATCAAATCGACCTGAAATCTGTTGCCTTTCTAATGTACAGCTTGATTACATGGATAATTTGTTGGAAAACTGTTGTTAACCTCCACGATTTTTATTCGTTAAATTTGTAGAAAATTTTGTCTGGCGGCCTTTGTTAGAGTAGTCGTATTGTAAACCTTCCGAATAAGTTTCTAAAAATTGCGCATATTAGCGATCTACCCAACTTTGGTTCGAGGACCTGACCGATACAAATGGCAATCAGTCAGTCAGTCAATTAATCAGTCAATCAATCAGTCAATCAGTCAATTTATCAATCACTTACCAGACAATAAGTCTTTAGGTCGCAAGACGTACTTGAAGAAACCTCGTTCGAGTCTTTATTTGCACATGCGGCAAGGGTAACAGAAATACTGCTGACGAAGGCTGCAATGAAAAGTGCTTCAAAGACTGTCCTCATCATCTTCATAAACGTCAGTTCGAAACTTATCTGTTAAGATAGCTAGCAATAAAAACAACAATTAAGAGTGAACCGAAATTCAAAAACAAAGTTAAAAAAGATTTTCGTCAAAAAGAAAAACTCATAATAATCTTGAAAATAAGATTGCCATGGAAACATCGAAATCTTCGACCAATAACATTTCATACTAAATTGTTCCGAGATAAGTTGAACGGAAATTCAACAAATTTTTGATCGATTTCCTTTAAGTTTCTGAAGATTTCAATTTGAAAACTCTTTGACCAAGACATTCGCCAATTTCAGAAGATTGTCATCCAAACGAGCACTTACTAGCGCGGGCTGGTTACCTGAGCAGTGGCTGTTAATCTAGTCTTTTCCGTTTTAAGTGGTATCTTTTAGTGGTCAAATAAAGCCTGAGTCACGCTCCATTAGTCCTAATGGAGTTCCTAAGTTTCTTACGTTTCCACATGACGAAATGCACTTTCTTTCGCCGTGAAAAACCCAATACCCTTCTACCGTAAGATACTAAGCATAAAATAGTAAGACTGCTTCTAAAAGTTGCTGTAGAGAATTTCAGTAGAACTGGATCGCAACTGTGGAAGTTTTCGCTAAGATGGCACTGGGGAGATTGATTAAAAGTGCTTTTATGGTAAGAATGCTGAGACGTCTCTGAAACGTGAGTTCATGGAGGAGATCAATTTATTTCTAAAACATCAACGCTCTATTAAAAACAAAATCCCTTTGAACTGAAAGTAATCATTAAGTGATGACGTAGTTATGTTTAATTAAATTGGCTTGTGTACCAAACGTGCAAATATTGCTTTTGTAAGAAGTCATGTTCTGATAGTTTTTACTGGTAAAATGATTTTTAAAGATTGCTACCGCAGCAACCGATACTGACTTTATGCATCTACCAGTTGATAAAAATGTATTTTGATAGAGTCAAAGTACTGCAGAAATTTGTGGCTGGACAGAATGCTGCGTCTTTAATTCATAATTTTATTCAGAAGCTACTATAATTTGTAGTTCAGTTGCAATATGTGCGATTAAAATTATCAATTCGTTGTCAAACGAGAGAAGTTCTAATTCTTTATTTTCTATTTTTTCAAGTAAAGCATTTTTTTTTCACAATCCGCAACCTGTAGAAGTCGATGAAAATATATACAAGTTAATTAGGTCGATTGGATACCCCATAACAGTCGTGATTTAGATAAACTGTCGTGTTAGAAAAGCAGCGTAGCATTAAACTTTTTTGAAAAGCGAGATTTTGCTCATAATCCTTTCTTCAACACGACTTAATCTTATAGAGTCCATTAATAGTTTTCTAGTTGAAGTGATCATTTGTTAAATCACAAATTTATCAGCACACATACCTGTTGGTGCAGCAAAAGGAGGCTTGCAATGAAAATGTTGATTTTCGGGAGAATATTTCAAACTCAGTTAGTCAGATCACGATCTTAATGAATTTACTTTAGCAAACAGCTGTATAAATGTCATACGTTAAAGCTCATTCCAGAAAACACTTTAATCTTAGTTTCATCAGATATTTATCTTAATTGCTTTACTTTTACAAACAGCTGTGTAAATTGCAAACGTTAACCTTATTTAGCCTGGGTGGGTGAGAAGGGGCAGTCACAATGTGCTTTACCTAGCTGATTTTAGTCTTTTATTATAAAAACAGCTTTCAGCTCAGGCTATAGCAGTCAATATTTTTTATTTTTCTCCAGTAAACGTTATCAGGGAACATTTTGGTGTGTCAACTGTGTGGTCACGTCACTTGAGGTGTCTATCACAACAATGTTTTCAAACAAATTTGCGTTTTAAGCTTATCATTTTGCATGTTTGAGATCAAATTTAGATTTTATAACGAACTATTTCAAATTCCTCACACTTCTTGCATTTTTAATTTCACCAATTTTAAATTTCACTATACAGGGAATACTTTTAAATTTCACTATACAGGGAATACTTTT